GAATCGCATACGCAGAGGGAGACATTGTTGTGTGCTCCGCACCTGCGATCGCAGGCAAGATCGCCAGTATTCTACAAATTTGCCGAAGACAAGACCAAAAGCCTTCATAGTGTATTACTGCTGCATTGATTCTCTCACCTGCATCTAGTGCATCCATGATGTCCTGGCAAAAAGCTATTATTTGTCTTTCGCACAAGTAACACTTTCTGAATCAAATTTTCTCTACTCCACACGTCTAATGTATTTAGCAATGACGTGTTCCATCAACTTACAGACAACTGATGTTAGGCAAATAGGCCGATAATTTTCAACTTCTGATTGAGACACACCCTTATAAATGGAAACTACAAATGCTTCTTTCTAATCCCGAGGAATACTTGAATGATTTAAGGTAATATCAAAAAGTCGTAACAGATACAGAAAAGTGTGTGTTAAGAATTATTTGACAAGTTGGAATCAAATAGATAGACAAAGTTTACAAAACCTTTGTAATATCAGTAACATTGGGAGTATCATAAGGCTCCCATTTAGGTTCTTTATTAACTCTGGCCCTTCTCAACTAGGGGTAACCCGTCAAAAATGACATGACAAAATAAAACTCCCATATTAATATTTCAATATAATGAATAGTAAAACCCAATTGAAGGGATCACCAGGTGAAATTTTGAGCTATTTCTGATTGTTACCATGACCCCTGAAGAAATTGATTTTAATTCCTTTGATATTTGTTATAATTACATATCATATAATAACATGTGTTTCAAAGATTACATCCATTGTGTTACCAGAAATTGCATGTACATGTGCGCAACCCATGTGCATGGGCGGCTTCCAATTGATAATTGAGCGTATGTTCTGACCAAGGATTTTACATTCTGCCTTCAGAGAACTTGTGTTCCTAAAATGTGCAACTGCCTGCAAGTCCAAGCAGTTGCACATTGCTACATGAATGGTATTGCCCCCAAAAATCTACTTTCTCAGTATCAGGTGTACTTCAGTTCAAAATAGATTTTCCCCAGCATTATGTAACTGTAAATTATGTATATTATTATGAGTATACTTATGTACATGAGAATCTTAAAATATCAAGTAATGCATTATGGGGGAAAGTTGGGCTCAGGATAACCAACACAACAGCACTCGCCTCTTAAGCAACAAGTTAATGATCCCGAATTACATCACAGATATCTCACAGTAGCAGATGTGCTTCCAGGAGGGTTCAATTAGGAAGGCTCAGTTAATTCAAAGAATTAAATATTAGGCCACTTTCATATGCCAATTATGGACATAAAAGAAAATTAGGACATTTATTTTCGACATTATTTTATGTTTATAAATTTTAATATTAATTTGCCTGTTGCCTAAGATTTGTACCCAGTTGTAAACTTAAATCTCTCTTCCACAATATATTACTTTAAGTACAAATATTTTTCTAATTTTAGATATAAGTACAGCGAAATATATTAGTACCCTTTCTCCTCTTGTTTTGAGTTCTTATGGTTTTTCTTACTTTCATGTTCTTTTTACATGCCTAAAACGAACGTTTTCAAAGATTTAACATCCAATATCTACTCGTGGGTTTGTCATGATTTCCAGAATTGTATATGTAATGTCAGTTGAGACGAGAAAAAAAACTTACGAATCTAATTTATCTTGGAGGCAGAGCATTTCCTCTCCCTTGCCAGTCTTTTCAAAGCAGTTGGCAGCAATGTCTTCTAAACAGACCTCTTCAATTTCGGGTTGTAAATCCACACTTACAGCTCTCTGTCGCATTACTCGCCGAATCTCAGCAAGGCAAGAAGATCTTAACTGTTAAATTGACAAACAAGACGTGAGCAATAATGTTGACACTACAACACATTTATTTATTTACTTATTTGTTTGTTTGTTTATTTTTTATCTGTTTATTTTTTATCTATTTATTTTTTATCTATCTATCTATCTATCTATTTATTTATTTATTTATTTATTTAGTCAATGCCAGAAAGATATCTTGGACAGTTCATTATTAATAAGTGATTTAATTTTGCAGTGGCATTCATATGATGCAGCATATACGTTATTTATGATTAATTTATTTTTAAAAATCATTGATGAATAGAGCTCTGTAGGTATTAAATGTGTTCATATAATAGAGATGTTAAAACATTTGTAGATACATGTAGATTTAGACATAGACACAAAAGTACAATAAATAAAATTCAAATAATCAACAAGTTACAACAATGCTAACTCATGCTTTATGGAAAGAAACAGTATGCCACCAATTTTTAAATTTACAGGAAAATATCACAATGATTTTCTCAGCTGAGATGTCACATACCTTCATTGTTTCATCAGGATGATAAGCATAACGGTATAAACATGGTAACACAAGGGGACCTCTCTCAGGGTCCATCTGGCCATCCATGTCAACCCAAACTCTCTTGGCATGGCAGAACCTTGCGGCATCATCACGACACTCACGGTAAAGCTGAGGATCAAGTTTAAAGTCCCGAGCCACAAAATACTGAATCTGGAGCAGGGTGGTCTCACAAAAATCTGTCATGTGGTCAGATCCCAGCTTTTCCATGAGACATGTCATAACTCTGAAACAAAAGATAGCAATTTAATAATTTTATGAGTAGTGTTTTTTCAAACTAGTTTTTTTATTTATGTAATTAATATAATTATTAAATTTCACATCTTCCCCCATTCGTTTATCGACCTTTAATATTTGCAAAAATGAAAATTTATAAATGTTATTTCCTCTGAACAATAGTGAGCTATGCTGAGTATTTTCTTTCTCACTCAAAAACCATGCAAAATTTCAATCTCGTTATACCTTTAATCTTTAAAACAAGGATGACACAGAATTTGGACATTAAATATAACTTTTCCCTTCAAATGCACATGTAGTTTTCACCATTTTTGATGTTAGATAAATGTGTTGCAGGGACCACTGACCTCAGGGGAGATGCCCACAAACATTTATTCATTGTTAAAGGGAGCACCATGATGATGTACACTTACCTTACATTATATCTTTGAGATTTATTAACATTTATTTAGTCAAAAAACAGTAAAAACTGTGATGTATAGGGGAGAAGATCATCTGCGCATGTTTTTTGGAGTTCCAGGATTTCTATGACGTGTTGTACTTATAAATATCAGTATTGCATGAAACTATGCTCTCACCATTAAGTCTGTTATGACAAATATTACAGATTCATAAATAAATAGGCAAGGCAATAATAAGATTCCAAGGTGAATGAAGAGGCGCTTGCAGAGATCACACGGATGGCATTTTTTCATTATTCGAATAATTATCTTTTGCAATCTAAAGGTCAGAGTACTACATGATAAACTTCCCCATAATATTATGCCATATCTCAGGCAGGAATGAACATTTGCAAAATACATGCAAAGAGCTGAATGCAAGCTGACAGAATTTTAAAGAATTCTGAATGCGCAACTTCATGAACTTAATTTTCTGTTTAATTCGGTCATGTGTACATTCCATTTGAGGTTTGGCTAAAATGAGAGACCTAGAAATTTTGTTACCTTAACATCAACTAATTGCATATTGTTCATTTTCAATGGAGCAATTACTGATTTGGTACATTACATCAAATCATGTATTATATTTTAAAGTAATCTTTACTGAGTGTTGGCTGATCAAAATTTTCAGGATTTTTCTGAGAATTATTTTACTGTTGTGCACTTGGAAAACATTAAAACCAAACTAGTGGTGCTACAAAATTGTACAGAGCTTCTGTTAGTTAGTTGTCTAATTTATTGGTCTGGGCTAGCTTTTTAGTTTTGCCCCATGCTCTTCCCAGCTGCCATCTATCACCGTTAAAAGTTCATTTTTTCACCTTTTCTCAATATTTCTGTCTCGTAATGGTAGAACCCAAACATGACTTTAAGAATGTTATAGAAGAATAAAAACTCATCCTAAATGGCTATTTTTATTAAAAAATTTGGGGCTGTTTTAGAGCAAATGTTTATGGGTTTCTGAAGACTTGCAACTTGAAGAACATTTTCAATCAAACCTATTGAGATTTCGTGAAACTTTATAAGACATTGTTTGAAACAATTGAACTTGCAAACCAATAACAAATTGCAAGTAATATAAATATTGAACTCCCTGTAAGATACTTAAAAAATATTACATTTCTGTATTTTATAAAAAACATAAGAAAACATTGAAAAGGGATATAAGTAGAGGGTGGATTTTGAAGACCTACCACATTGCCAAAAATTATCAATAAAATGCAATTAAAATGCCCTAAAATAAAATACAATAAAAAATGACTTATTTATTTACTTATGTCAAAAACTGTGTGTGGCATGCTATTGGGAGAAGTTAATTTGAAGTTACATTTATGTTCAGAAGCAAAACAAGGGGTTGACTCAGCATTTGCTCGGAGATTAGGGAATCTGGACGAAAATCTGAGCGTGATGGGGGTCATTGACCCAGAAGCTGAAGTACAATACTTGTTAGAGGTTCTTTATAATTATACAATCCAAACGGCATATAATACATTAAATGCCATTGTTAAAATTAACATACTCTTTCCTTTTGGATGATCAGTATAGTCTCTAATTGTATAGAAACAGTTCTGCAGCAGAAAAGATTTTACTTAGGACTTAAACTTTTGTATCAAATTTAATCATTTAATGTCATTTGGCAAGGTGTAGTAAAATAATGTACATGTATTATGCATGAATTTTTTGTAGCGAGTTGTTGATACTGTCACCGGATGAATATGATTACTATATCGAGTGTTGCAGTTATAGACAACAGAATTTGCTGAAAACATATTCCTGTAGTTAAGTATGTCAGTTTTGAGAAAAAAACACTGATTCATATATGAAGAGGCAAGGTAATGGTAAAATACCTAGATTAATAACGAAAGGTTTACAAGAATCACGTGGGTGGGATTTGCTTATTATTCATACAATTCTTTTTTGTAATCTAAAAGTCTGGGAAGTATAAGATGTATTTTCCCAGAATATTATGCCATATCTCAGGTGAGAATGAACATTTGCAAAATATACACAACGAGCAGTGTGTAGGCTGACTGAATTTGAAAGAATTGTAAAAGCGTGGCATAAGGAACTTAATTTAGTGTTCAATTCATTTAAATGACCGTTCCATTTAAGTTTTGACTGAATTGAGACCTAAAAATTTTGTTATCTTAACATTAGTCAATGGTACACCATTCATTCTCAGTGAAGTGCAGAGCTGTTTATTTGAAATGGAAAACTGCATTGAAACTGTTTTCATTTCATCAATTATTAATTTGTTATTACGGAACCAATTTGAAATATCTGATATTTCAAATTGCACTATTTACGGTTCCTTTATTGCAAAGAATATTCATATCATCCGTAAAGAGAACTGTTCTTCTGTTTCTAATCATCAAGGGCATATCATTTACATATAGTAGGAAGAGATTAGGGCCTCAAATCGATCCCTATGAGACTCCACATGCAATTGGCAAAGAATCGGAAAATTGTGTACATAATGTTCCATTATTCCAGTGAGGTATTTCTACTCTCTCAGATCATTGTTTAAGGTACTAACATAACCAATCTAAAGCAACAACACAAATTCCATTCAAACATAATTTTGAAAGTAAAATGTTATGATCAATGACGTCAAAAGCTTTTGAAAAATATAAAAATATTCCAGTAGGTGCTTCGTTTCAATCCATAGATGAGGCAGGCAACATCTTTAAGAAAAGAAAATATGGTTGCTTCCGTAGATTTTGATTTTGGAAACCCATGATGGCAATCTGAAAATGTGTTGTGTTTACTAAGAAATGTTTCCGTTCGTACATAAAAAGTCTCTCTAATATAGCCGATAATTTTGAATTTCATTTTTGTTGCCTTTTATGAAAAGCGGCTTAATCTTAGCTGGTTTAAAATTAACTGGAAAAATTCCTGTGCATAAGGATACATTAAATATGTGAGATAACAGGTGTATAATTGCCATGGGGTTTGAATGGAAAACGATGGATAATCGCAGGTTGCTATTGGAAAAAAATTATAATTGTTATTGCAAGATCTGATTTTTTGATGGAATATATGAAACTCAAGGCTGGAGGTTATTAATTTGTGGTTTTTTGAATAAAACTTGGTTTTATTCAAAAGGCAACGCAAAACAAATCTACTAAAGTTTCGTAGTGTTGAAATTATGAAATTGTAGATATAAGTGTATGGAGAAGGGCACGAAATTTGTAGGCAATTGAAAATGCATTCATTTTGAGAAATAGCCAGTTGTGTGTACATGACTTTTGTATGATGATGAATATTGTTTTCCAGTTTTGTAAGCACCTAATAGTGGTTCAATATGATTTTATTCAGTAGGTCATCTTACCAAATTGTTTTTTAACCACTCATCCTTTAGGTTATGCTCTCGTCACGGCAAGATAAAAATCGAGAGTTTGCTCAAGCAAAAATTGAGATGAAGGGTAAAAATATATAGTTCTTACATTGCAGTGAGGTGCAAATTGGTTTCATCAAAGATGCCCAGAACTATTGTTTCGCGTCCCAAAGGACCAAAATAAGTAGATGAATAATCAATAGAACTATGACAGCAGAGATGTTTCAAAAGTGGATGAAAGAAGAATTATTACCTCGGTTAGCAGAACCATCACTTATTGTAATGGACAATGTACCTGTTCAATCTGTGCTGGTGAGTGACATTTCATCAATTGTTCTTTTAGAAATGTGAAAAATATTCACTAAAATAATATATTTATTCATTTAAAAAAATAACCGATTATAAAACGGGTATTAAAACTACACAGTGGTGAAAGTTGATGTTTCACTAAAAACATTCAATGGTGTAGGAAATTTATTAAATTCAATGGTGTTCAGTGATTTTAGTTATATCAGTAATACAATTTGTCTTAGAGAACATCAACTTTGTCAGTAGAATGTTTTGTATGTATTTATAGAGAGAATGAAAATAAATGTTATCTTTGAATATAACTGAAATATTTAAACATCCTTTTGTCATTTCCAATTTTTAAGAAAGTGAAAAGGCCTTTATCGTTAAGGAGGAAGGATGAAAAAGTACTCTTAAACATAAGTTTTGTTGAATTAATCATAGAATAAGGCAGTTTTATTTTTTGCATGATTTTGATACAATGTGATTGCCAATGTTTTTATTATTTCAAAAATCATATCAGTTGATGTGGGTACAGATATGTTGTAGATGAAATGATTGAAGAAAGCTGGACATAGAGTTTTGTGTCTCCCCCCTACCATTGTCATTCCAATTCTATTGAGTTAGTATGGAGCCAGTGCAAAAGATATTATCAGAGACATCACGGAACCATTTTTGACCACCAAGCAGTGACAAGAAAATGGAAGCAAGCATTAAACCACGTTTCACTGGAGAAGTAAGTTGTTTTTTTTTTGCAGAAAATTTGTTAATATAAAGTACTTATTCATTCAGTACATTGCTTTAGTTGGAAGAATTATGTGACACACATACAGAAAATTATAGAAGATTGGAAAGTAGAACTTAGGCAGGATGCTTCAGGGATTACTGTCATAGTAAATATTAAGGATGACTCTGATGATAACGTTCCATGTTCTGTTTCCATGCCTGTGCTCTGGTGTTTCTACTTAATAGAGATATGGGCAATATCTTTAAATGTTTAATGCAGTGTATTTCATAGGTTTGAAAAAAGATTTGACATAACTCTTGTTCTTCACAGGTGCAGAATTAAAAGTTTGTATTATTCCATCAAGGGCAAGTAAGTGGTTACATTCCAGGTGAAATAGTGAATCTTTATTGTTTTTAAGCTGATCTAAGCATACTGAAATAAATAGACCAAGGTTATTTATTTATATGTTTATTTGATTCTTTCTTTATGAGAGAAAGAGAGAGAGAGGAGAGGAGAGGGAAGGGCAGGGAAGAGAGAAGTGAGGAGAGGGAAGGGAAGAGAGAGGAGAGGAGAGGGAAGGGAAGAGAGAGGAGAGGAGAGGGAAGGGAAGAGAGAAGAGAGGAGAGGGAAGGGAAGAGAGGAGAGGGAAGGGAAGAGAGGAGAGGGAAGAGAAGAGAGGAGAGGGAAGGGAAGAGAAGAGAGGAGAGGGAAGGGAAGAGAGAAGAGAGGAGAGGGAAGGGAAGAGAGTGTAATATTTTGTATATTCTTTCTATGTTCATTTACGTTGTAAACAATTAACAAGTGATGTTCTTCACTTGTCTGTAAGGAGGTTAGCAATGGGGAGTGTAGTTGATATGTAGTTAATCTTCTTTGAGTAAATTGATTTTGAACTTGAAATGTGTTTATTTAATGCATTGCAATAGTGAAGTGTTTCCACTAGTAAAATATAAGTGTCAATAAAGCACATTATTTTACAATAGCACCCTATTAGTTCTGAAAGAATGTCTTCAGTTAATGAAACTATTATTCTTTTTTTCTATTTTTGAGGATTCTTTCATTTTTAATTAGAATAACCTTCTACAGTAATTTTGTTTATATAATTCAATTACACTGTAGTATTTAATTAAAAATGTCTTCAAGATGAATTAGTTCATATCTATTAATTTGACAAAGGAAATCTTTACCTCAGAACACTAAATACACTACCTGGCATCTCCGCCACGTGTGTCCTGACAAGCTGAATCAACTACAGGTTTGCAAGCTTCCCGCAGCACAGGATCCACACGCCAGTCTTCGCCTGCATCAGCCTGCTTCACCAGTACCTCCAGCTGGTAATAAAACAACCATTTGAAGAATAAAATTCGTTTGGAAAAAAGAAGAAAAAAAAACACCCCAAAACAAAGTACCCAGGTAGAGCTTTCTCTAACAGCTGACATAAAAAATGTTCAGCGATACGTTCATCATGTAGCAGACCTAGGAAGCCGAGATCACTAAAGAGGATGTGTTTTAGGAGCCTCAACTTGAAAGGTTAAGGGATGGAATCTCACCTTGGATCTAGTTGTTTGCTTGCATTAGTTTGGTGTGACTAATTGAATGATTAGTGATTCCAGACGAGTCATCTACTGGCTTAAGTCCTATAAGTGTAGTGCATATTTTTATTGCAAGAGGTGGCAATGATCTTCCCCCACTGGTTGGCAAGATTCAGTGCCAACCTCCTCAGCAGCCTGCAGGGATTTCTCCTCAACCATGTTATCTACCAGCAGTAGGGCAGCCAAGACAAGCTCTAAGCTCCCGACTGATCTTCCAACGTGTGGTAGTTGTGAGCATGCAAGTGCAACTGTGTGTGAGTAAGGGGTGAAGATAGGACAAGAAAGAGGAAAGGACGTGCGTGGTGTGGTCAGTTTGTTAGGGTATTGCTCTTGGTGTTAATCGGATAAACCATGGAAAACTACAAACCAGAGCAGAAGGCCAGTAGAATTCTCCTCCAGACAGTGATATGCTATGGCTGGAGCTTTTCCAAATCGCATGGGCTTCCTAATAAGACAATCATTCATTCCCATTCCTCTTAGTCCGAACAAAGAAGCAAGAGGGGAAAGGCGGTTTTGGATACCATTTCTTTTGTCATAATGTCACTGCCATTCATGGGCCATAATACCTATGGGAATCATCATGGCTATGACACAACTGCTTCAGATGCAGAACACCATTCCTATTATGTATTAGCTCTTTATATTTGAGAAGGGGCCCAAACGGGTGATCCATAGAATTGATGTGACAACCGAAGCAAGCAGCTTTCTCTTTTCATAACTAGATTCTCCAGTATTCAGCATTAACCTAGTCAATGCAGCATTCACCACCACTTTCGGTATATGTGCGTGTCCGTTTGCACTTGTGTATGTGTATGTAATTATGAAAGTGGAACCCGCACCCAGAAAAACTGTACTAACTCCAAGATGAGGCATTAATTACATTCAAAATGAACCTTCATTTTGATTATGATTATTTTGATTATGAATATCATTTATTTATTATATAATTTACATATCATTGGAATATCATGAGCAAATGTGTAAAGGCTCATGGCTGAGATAGGTCCAAGTGAACTTTAGGTAGTGTGAAGGTGCTCTTCAATGGGAATGTTTCCAGAGATGCAGTAGGTAGTGCATATGGCACTGGAGGTGTTTTAGGTGCCTATAGATAGTATCTGGGAAAAGGGTATAACAAAACTAAGAAGCCAGGCATAGGAAAAAGAAGTGTCACACTGTAGGAATCACTAATTAGTTCAGTTGACATAATTTTTTTTAAAGCATTCACATTTTTCATAAAAACTTATAATTATACATTAAACAAGAACTAAAGCAATGCCCACAGTGTTAAACCTAAGACTAAATTAGAATTTTAAAACTCACCGCTCTTTGGCATTGAGAAGATATTCTTTCCTTTCTTTTCCTGAAACGAGTTCGCTCCATCAGACAGTGAATAGTTTTTCCTCCTACTTCGAGGCCTTTACAAAATGTAGCAATATCTTGAGGGCAACTTGAAACAATTTCTGGTGAGAGACGATAATCTTCCATTAATATTTTTCTGTGCTGGAAGACCCAGCGAGAAGGTGATAATGGGTATAGGCATACCGCAGCTTAATGGGCAGCCGTGAGTGTTTCGGGAGTTGAGGGAAGTTTTAACACTGACTTGAGGTCGGTTGGCAGCTCTGTTTTAAGTATCCCTTTCAGTTGATGATGTGCCAATCATATTTCCTTTGCTGAATCCCATAGGATTTGCTAGAGTCATCAGCTTCCAGAGCAGTGGATTGTGTTCTCGCATCAACAGTCTCGTATGTGAGCTCACTAGTGAGTTTACCCTTTCTGTATTTGTTGTATTTTGCATTTGTCAATGCCTAGTTCCATATTTAGTGTCCCTGAAAAGCTTCAGTAACTTTCATCCTGAATTTTAAGCCCCGCATCGTACAGAGTAGAGTTTGATGTCGTCCATATTACGCCTAATGGGCTATCTGCAATCTTCAGTGCCTCTCAGTTCGAAACCTAATTTTCAGGTCTTCTAGGGAGTTGTCCGATAACGGTTTCATTGCAAAGCAGACCATAAGGGCTCAGGCATCTCCTGAAAGATTTCCCGCGCTTTTATATTTAGTTTTCCCTTGGTAATCATTGTTTCATTTTTTGAAGTGGACACGAATAGTTTGTCTTCCATTTGCCCATGATGGATTTCAGGAAACTTTCGATTGTTGAGTTCACACGAATATAGCGGACAGGGCACGTAAAGGAGCCAATTCATGCGGAACCATGTCATAGCTTTCTATAATCAATGAAGCCAGCGTGAACTAATGGCGTTTCTTTATTACATGCTGAGCATGACTCACACTATTTCATGAGGAGAGTGCTCCGTACAGTCCCAAGGGAGCCCTTGCTGCATCCCTTTTGACCATCGGCCTAAGATAGAATTGCTACACAGTGTTTCTCGATAACCATTGATAAACAACTTGTGATGACCTTGTAGAAAGGAATGAGACAAGTGATGGTCCTAATTTCGTAGGATCTGTAGTATCACTGGTTTTTGGCTTTCATATATGTGGACACCTTCACAACGAACGTGCGACATTTCTTCAGGATTATTCAGATTTATATATTATTATTATTATATTATTATTATTATTATTATTATTATTATTATGATTATTATTATTATTTCTTTTCATAATTTGTAAATATCTAAAATTGATGCATATTTTATATAAATAGACTGTAATAAATGGAAAACCTCTGTATTTGTTTTCGGACAAAAGTAAAACTCAGAATGCCAAGCTGAAATGATTG